AACTTCAGTCTTTCCTCATCTATAAAATGGGAACAGGGACAGTAAAATCTACATCACAGATCTATACCATAGACTTACTTATCTTTATTGAGAGGATTACAGGAGATAAAGCCAATAAAGGGTTTATCATGGTGTCTTAACATCCAGTAGAGTCTCAGCAAACATCCTGTGTTAGTAGGGTGTGATGATAATTAATCATAGCAGAGCCATCTATGAACAGCAGAAGCCCTTAGCCTGGGACTCCAGAGCCCCTTCTGCAGTCCAGGTGTTCCCCAAACCCACTTCAAGCTTCTCGACAAGAAAGACTACATTTCCCAGGATCTCTTGCAGCTAAGACACCATGTGACTGAGTTCTGGCCAATGGACTGAGTGAAGAGAAGTGATATGAATGACCTCTAGAAGTGCCTCCAGAGTTGTTCTACTTCTCATTTCCCACCAGTCAGACAAATGTAGAAGATCCAGGTGAGACCTTCAGGGTCCCTAAAAAATTTCAGAACCACAAATATAAGGAACCAGAGTCCTTGAAGAACTTTGGGGAACAGCTTCCCACCCACCTTCAATACCCACACCATCAGTGGTACTTTGTATAAACAATACACAAGTATCAGCTATGCTGAGTCACCAACACATTGTGTTGCCTTGTTGTAGCAGCTGACCTAGCCTAATACACACAGCCAATCAGGCATCAAACCAGGCTCACAGCTGCTTGCTGGCTTGGTGTTTCCCTGAACAGGGCACACACTGCAGACCACCCAGTGTCATATGGTCCAAGAAGGAAATCTATGGTTGTGATCAGCGTGGCACAGTGACTGTAAAGAAGAGTCTGCAGAAACTTAAGGAAAGAAGGCAAAGGAAAGATTGCTGGTCTAGAAGAAACAGGACAGCCCAGCATCCATGGTATTCAATAACCCACAGGTTCCAGGGGTCAATGTGGTGCAGTACAAGGAGCCTGTAATGTATGTGGAATGGCAGCTGGACGCCCACATCTGCCAACACGGCTAAATGTGTGCACTCTGACATCACAGTGGTGTTTTAAAATCAACATGGTGGGAATTGATACGTACACCATGAGAATTAGCAAACGCTACAAATAGGAGCATTTTCCCCTATCAGCACATCACTAAATAAATAGGAGTCAGACAAGTGTGGGGTGGGGAGAGTATCCCAGTAGAGTGCATGACCAAGAACAACTGCAACTGCACCCAGTGCAAAGAACTGAAGGCAGTCCCGAGTGGCCGGGCACGGAGAGTAAGGGAGCAGGGGTCAGAAGGTCCCAGAGAGAGGGGGCCCACCAAATGGATGGGGGTTACATGTTCTTCTCATCTATGGTTGTATAACAAATCACACCAAACCAGAATGGCTTCTAAAAGATCATTTATTTTGTTCATGACATCTTTGATCTGTGTCAGTGGGAGCTGGGGATCCGCTCCCAAGATTCTAAGATGGCATCTTCACCTACGTCTGGAGTCTTGGAAGCCCCCTTCCTCTCTCCTCCCCTCTTCCCTCTCTCTCCATCTCTCCCTCTTCCTCTCCTCTCTCCCATCCCCCATATGGCATCCCACCCTCCAGTGCCCTTGTGTGGCCTGGACTTCTCAAGCATGGTAGCCTTAGGGCAGTCACACTTCTTCTGAGACCCCAGCAAGTGTTCCAAGACACCAAGAGCAAAGCTTCCAAAGTCTCTCAGTGTCTCTTCCAGTCCATTGTCTTGGTCACCAGCAAGTCACAGCCAACCCTGACTCCAAGGGGCCCACCCAGACCATGAGGAGCACGGTCATGGACAGCCTGCTCTGAAGACTGGCTGCCACATATCACTGACCTATTGATACTCACTGTCCACCCTCCAGGACCACCAGCCAGGGACAGACCAAGAAGAAAGCCACCATTCTTGGTAGAGGAGGCAGAATGTGTAGAAAATGGGCACAGCATCAGACGGCCCCTCCCCACAGGTGGTGGTAGAAGAACCCCCACAGGAGGGTGGCATTGCCAGCAAGATGAGTAGGTATGGGGACACTGCAAAAGACATGCATACAGATGGCAGGTTGTGCCCTGAACAACTCCAGAGTGCACTGCTCGTGACAATGCTGTGAATGGTGCTCTCAGCAGAACAGGAGGAATGCCCACCGCCTGACCTTCTCCTGCATCTGGGTCTTCTTGGGCCTGAACCATGCCATGCTGGCCCCATGCATCCACGCCACTAAGGAAAAGACAGCAGTGCCTGCACAGGCAGCTGGCCTCTGATACCACTTCCCACGAAGTCTGCAGATGCTTTGCTGTGAACACCTGGGGACAACAGGGCCAGGAGGGGGAGCTAAAAATAGCACTGCTATTTTTAAAAAAGAACCCTTCCCTCCATCCTCAGGGTCATGGTGGTCAGAAGTCACAGAAATGCATACTGCGTGGGCCAAAACAGGGCGACAGGCCGGGGCACTGGTACAACCCCGCAGCCCCCGTGGGCTCTCTCTGGCCACTCCCCCCAGCAATATCGGCCTCCTGCACCTTTTCTGGATCTCAACCTCTCGAAGGTCCTCTGACTCATTCCGACAGGATATGAGTGACAGGCTTCGAACAGGATGGGCTTTGTTTATTTAATTTGCTTGTATCTGTGGTACTAGGGATTGAGCCCAGGACCTTCACACTAAGCTACATTCCCAGCCTTTCTTATTCTGAGAAGTCTCGCTAATTTGCTAAATTTCCCAGGCTCAGATCATACTCCCAATCCCCCTGCCTCAGCGTTCCAGAGTGCTGAGATGACAAGGACCCATACAAGCATCTAATACAGATGGGCAGGCTGCACAACTCCAGAGGGCACTGTCCACGAACACAGTGTGAATGGTGCTCCTGAAATCATGCAATGAGGCTACTGGTGCCGCCCAAAGAAGAAATGCTGTCACACCAGCCTGCATCCCCGCAATGCGGACAGCCACGCAAATCAAGGGTCACTGAACAGCCAGCTGGTCTCCTGCTTCCAATAATATGCAGCTGTGCCGGGGGGGCAAACTTTCTGCTCCTCCACCATCTCCTGCACGTGCACACACACAAACACACATGCACATGCGCACACACATACATGTCTCTCTCAACGGTTTAAAAAATATATTTGAATTCTGCATCCCACTTCTAATATAGTCTATGTATGCATTAATACTAAAAGTAGCTTTTTTCTCCGAAACTTCAAAAAAGGCTAATAACACAAAACAATGTCCTCTGCATGCCAATCCAGGGAAGTGGCACGTGCACTGTAGTTCACAAAGTGTAATTCTGTATCATCTGATGTTAACTTTACAGCAGCCCTGGAGCTGTAGAATGAGCAGCCCACACAACTGTATGCAGCACACTTTCCATTCAGTGGTATAGAAGAGGGGATTATCCCATTTTCCAGCAAGGAGAACTAAAATCAGAGTTTAAGAGGACCACACAAGGTCCCTTTCTATCCTGGTAGACGGAGTTCTCTGAGCCGGTCAAGGGGTCCTCACCCTTGTGACCCTGGAAAGTCACTCAGTCTCTCCATGCCTAATAAAATGAGGTGGAAAAGTCCAGCACAGTGGCGCACACCTGTAATCCCAGCACTCTGGGAGACTGAGGCAGGAGGATCAGGAGTTTGTGCCCAGCCTGGGCTACCTAGTGACTTAGTGAGACCGTAGATCAAAATAAATGAATTATAAAGGCTGGGGATGTAGTTGGGATGTGAAGGCCTTGGATCAAATCCCCTGGACTGTAAAAATGATGGTGACAACGATGACAACGACAGTACTTGGCTTTGTCAGGCTGCTTGAGACACCGAAGAGTGAGGGTCTGCCAGACACACAGCAAGCATGCAAAGTTTGCTGCCTGCCCTAAAAAATAAAAAGGTTTTTCCCCAACGCCCCAGTTTTCTAACCTGCACAATGGCAATCACAAAAATGCCTACACCTCAGGGTTGAGGATTAAATAACACACTCATCCTAGAGAGCTTAAAAGGGTGCCTCGCGCCTGGTCCCCACTGGAGAAGGAAGCGTGCTCCTAATACTTTTCCCTGAGAAAGTCGGGAACTCCAGGCCAGGCAGAAAGGCTCCCCAGATCAAAAGCGGCAGCAGAAGTCTCGAGACAGACACCAGGCCTGCCAGGGACTGGTGAGAACGCTCCAGAAGCAACTGCTGGGCGGTGAGGGGAGGGGAGCAGCGGACAGTAGTGTCGAGCAGGGGCCTGGTGTGAACGCCTTCTTTCTGGGCGGGGCAGAACAGGGCTCCTCCGAGGCGGCGCAGCACAGGCCCTGGAGCTGGAATGGGCATCTCACCGGTGGCTTTCTGTTTTCCCCTAGAATCCGCTGAAAGCCGTGCCTTGAGTTTAAATAGCATCATCCCCCGAGATAGCTTTTCAGTTTCATTACAGTCTGTGTTCGCAGAGTACAAATAGAAACCTTCGTGATTTTATTAGTTTCCATGCAACTCGGGAGAGATTTGCATGATAACGTTTCAGCTGCTGACTTGAAGGGATCAATTAAAAATATACTCGCACGGCCTGTCACTGGGAAATGAAAAGGTTCCCAGAGTTTCCAAAAATCTGTCACATCTGCCTCGGGGCCATAAATCACGTATCCGGTTCTGTAGTTGCAATTACTACTGTCTATAAATGTTTGGTTTACTTTGGAAGAGATACGTGGAGGGTGTTTGGACTCCTCGATAAAGGTTCACCTACAATGCAGAAGAATCTAAAGCCCAAGCGAGTACTGGGGGGGAGGGCTGCACAAACACCAACTAGTTTAACAACACCCCAAAGCTACTTGGTGCTCCGTGGATCTGTGTAGTGTTAGCATAATTTATCTGTGACAAGTTAAAATTTCATAGGCGGCCCTGGTAGCATAATCAAATGGGTTATTATATAACCTAGGAGAGCTGTTCCAGTAAGTCCTGGTGTGCTGGCCGCCTCCAGTTGGGGGTGCACTTTATTTCCGAGGCCACGGTTTGAGACCCTCTCTCCAGACACTTACTCCTCTGCCACTGTTGCCGCCATAATCCTGTCCCTGCTTTTGCAGCTGGAATCCTGCGGGAAACGGGGCTGAGAGGCTGTGGCTTCCAGGCTGCCTTTGCCGGTGAGTTCAGGGCAAGCTGGGGGAAAGCATCAAAGTAAGCTGATCTGCACGGGCTCCTCGTCAATCAGATGTTTCTCTTTATGCCTAACCTCAACAAGCTAGCCTATCGTCATGACCCCTACCTACAGTCTATAATCTGAGATGTCTTCAACTACCCGCCCCACCAAAACATCAAAAAGAAAACCGCAGTGGTGGTGTGACTATGTCATTAGAAGTTATAGAAGAGTCACAAAAAAAAAAAATCTATCTCTGAGGTTTGTTGTTTTTTTTTAATGACAAGTTTGATGGTAACCAGTGGGGCCTATGTGCTCGGATTGTAATTCCTTAAATATGTCACCTCATCCAAGTCAATATTGATGTTCTAGCGACACGTCAGTCAAATTCTTCTCTTGTGATTTATAGTAGAACAAAAACTACTCCCTGGCTCCACTACCTTGAATGACTGAATCTTTGGTTCTTTTTTAAAGGTGACAATGAGAACTCTGAAATCTGATTGAAAGAAACCGCTTCATATTGAAATCATGAAATCAAAAACTTTTTATATAGGAGAAAACAAGGCTGAGAGACAGTGGCTTATCTGAGACCACAGCTACTCCTATGTCACACGTCAAAATGCAAAATTCAGCAGTCCCTGTGTCCAGGCATAGGTGGGGGGGCACCTGTCCAGCAAGCACAAGGCCCTGGGTTCCATCCTCAGCTCCAAAAATAAATAAGTAAATAAATAAATATTTTAAAATAGGAGCAATGCCAATAAAACAGAACCCAGGCAGAAAGAGGGCAGCTCAGTGGGCTCTTCTGCCATTGGTATGGAAACATCTAACCTTCGAGGCCAGCCCAGGGTCCCTAAGGGTCTGAGGAAGTTTGAATCATCACAAAGAATGCGGCAGGGAAGAAAATGGACCCAAAGACAGTGGAGCTTGTCTCCAGGACAGGGGGATTTTGGAGGTACTTTTTTCCTTTCCAAAAAAAAAAAAATTACTATTTTCAATTGTGGCAAAAACACACATAACAGAAAACCTGCCATCTTACCCATTTTGCAGTGTACGGATCAGTGGTATTAAATACGTTCACACTGTTGTGCAACCAAATTCCAGAGCTTCTCATCCTGCAAAAGTGAAACTCTGTACCCATCAAACAATACCGCGCTCCCTCCCCACCCCCACCACCTTTCCGGTTTCTATTTCTGTGGGTTTGACTATTGTAGGTACCATAGGTAAGTAGAATTCGTCCTTTGTAGTTTGGCTTATTTCATTCGACCTAACATCGTCAAGGTTGTACCACCCAGGTGTCAGAATGTCCTTCCTCCTTAAAGCAGAACAACATCCCGGTGCACAAACCTACTGTGTTTTGTTTATCCACACATTTGCTGGCAGATACATCCAACCAGTGGCTTCCAACTTTGGCTACTGGGAATAGCACTCCTCTGAACACGAGTATATAGATATCGCTCAAGCCCCTGCTTTTAACTTTTATATATAATGTATATTATATATAAAATTATAGAATATAGAATTATAAAATATAGAATTGCTAGATCATATGATAATTCAATTTTTAGTTTTTTTAAAGCTCCATACTGTTTTCCATAACATCTGTACCATTTTGCATTCCCACCAACAATGCAGGAGAGCTCCAATTTACATTTCCACCAACACTTGCGATTTTCTAGGGTTTTTTATTATTATTATCATTATGGTAGTCATCCTAACAGATGTGAAGGGTCCTTTCTCTTTTTAGTATTTCTACACAGCCTACATCTTCTACAGTGAACATATAGCACACTCAGGATTAAGAACAAAAGTTGAAACATAAATCTTAGGGGAGAAATGGGTCACAAATGAATTTAAGAAATGGATTTCTTTTTTAAGAACACCGAGTTCTCTTGTGGGTTCAGCCACAGACATCATTCCTGTACTCTTCAAGAATCTATCACCTAATTGGCTGTGGCTGCCACAATCCAAGGAGAAGTGGCTGTAATTCATGGGCAGCTCACACAACTCCTCCAAGCACCAGGAAGAAAGTGCTCCCAGATGCACAGAAGAGAAAAACAGTGTGTAAAGCGGCTGCCAGCCAATGTTGGCCATAAAAATCCCCAGCACCTGGGTAAGTCCGTTCTTCTCCCAGACTTCTCCTCCAAGACATAGGACCCTCATCTCTGACTCTCCCTTGGCTATCACTATCCATTTTCTCCCCTTTCCAAAGCCACCCAAAGGGAAACCAAGATCAACGCAGTAGCTTCATCCAAATTCTCCTGCTGTCACATAACAGCTGACAAAGATCCCCACAAGGTTTGTGGTCTTTAACATCCGGGCCACAAGGCCAGCCACACAGGCCCAATGCTGTCAGGAGATAAGCCACAGCTTTTTCTTTGAAAAACTAAAACTTTCCCAAAGTGAAATCATTCTGCCTGCTGGTCTTTATTAGTGTTTTACTCCTTGGAGGTGCAATCAGGAGATTTACTCATCAAGACCAAAGTAAAAGGACTAAAAAACAAAAATCGATCCAACATATGTTTATCTAACTTCTAACTCCTAGAAAAGAAATCTGTTTTTCTTGGAGGACTATTTCCCTCCCGCCCCTTCGCACACATGTGCACGTGCTCGCTCTCTTTCTCTCTCTCTCTCTCTCTCTCTCTCTCTCTCTCTCTCTCCTTCTCCTCCAATATGTTGTAGTTTCTTTGCTGTTTTTTTTTTTTTTCCAGCAAAATAGAGGTAGTGGCAGCAGTAATACACAGAAGCCCCAGAAGAGAAGAAATGAGGATCTGGAAAAGGGACAACCTTTGGTCCTCGGGAGCAGGTCTATTCAAATGAGGCCAAAAGAGGTTCAAGATCACTGTTCTCTCTCCTTTGGGCTCAAAAGAGCCTAAAAAGCAGACTCCAGCTCCAACTCCTTCAACAGATGAACGCCCTACATCTGGATTCTTGGCATGGCCCCAAAATTACATCTGCCTTTGGCCAAGCCCAGAGCTAAACTGCAAAGGAAATTAAATTTTGGAAATATAGAGCACAGGCTACCGATAAGGAGGTGATATTATTACCCAGGGACTGCCAAAATTCCCTACCCACAACTTGCAACAAGATTAAAAAGGAAACTTCAAGAATCAACAGGCAGGAAGAGCCATTTCCCAAACTTTGAGAAGGGGGCAGGGGATACCTCACCACCTCAGGTGAAGAGCGGACCCGTGGAACCATCTGAGAGGGAAGGCTGCCTTTATAGAAGTGACACAAGTTAAGGTCATTCTGTCCCTCAACGCCAGCCAGCTCCACACCTTGTTAGCCTAGACTTAGAGTTGGAAATGTATCACACCCATCAAGTCCCGTTCTGTGTATCCTGAAAAGGGACCAGAAGGAAAGACAAATGAGAACGGTCTGCTGGAGTCATTCCAAAGTGGCGCTGTCTCCAACAGAATGGTAACCTCAGGAGATCACGGACCCCCAGGTTCCTCAGAGGGTGGTATGGAGCTTCCAGCACTGCGGAGGAAGTAGGGCCTAGGGGCCTAAAGCCCCCTCCCACCACCATGGTTTCTAATTCCACAGGCTGCTGAACTTGGTACATCAAGGCCCTACTGTGGCCCATTAACATATAAACTTCAGAAGCTACTCTCTACTCCCAGCCTCCAGTCCCTATGTTCACTGCCAAGGAGAAGACGAGAATCTGGCCCACTCTCTAAGAGGGACAGACGAGCAGGAAAATAAGACAAATACTCAACTTTAATTCTCGACTTGCAATTGCTACCCAGGTGTTCAAGCAACCAGCAGGCAATCCGCCTTCCAATGACTGCCCAAAATGGAGGCCCACGGCGGTGGGACAGATTTGTGCAGTTAGAAGAGATCCTGGAAAGAATGTGACTAGAAGTCTCGCCTTACAAACTCTTTCTCAAAAGATACCATGGTCCCAGGCGTCAGCAGGAAACAGACAAATTTCATGTCAGGTCACAAATCTAAAATTTTATTTTTCTTTAAAAAAATGAAATTCCTCCTCCTCGAGTAAAAGTAAACTCTAATAATCAGCAGAACTATGTATTGTTTCCTTTCACTGCTTCTTCCCAAAATGGAAGCATTCCAAACAAAACTAAATGACAGGTGACACAGGGCTCCCCAGAACCCCTCAGAATGAGAACTCTAAGGTACAAAGCAAAGGAAAGGATGAGGAGACAGACAGGAAGAATACAGACTTTTCTGCTAATTCATTTTGAAGTGATAAGAGTCGACCAGATCTAGGACCCCAGGAAAACTTGCAAGGATGACAAAGACACAGCATTAAAGAACAGAAAGGAGGGCTAGGGTTGCAGCTCAGTGGTAGGAGTACGTGCTCAGCATGCACAAGGCCTTGAGTTCGATCTCAGCAGTGGGAAAGAAAAAAAAAAGAATAGAAAGTAAATGAGATGTTTTAAATAATTTCAGCTTTGGCCATGTAAGGAAGCATTAGTCATAAAGGTAATGAGATCGTACGGGGAGATGATTCCCAGGCTCGGCTTGAGGACGTAAAGTATATCCATTCTGGCCCTGGAGTACCAATTACATCTCCAAATTAGCAATTAGACGTAATGTGCCAAAGACAATTACCAAATAATGCCAAACACAAAGCAAATTCACTCTTAAAGCAGACATTCTTCTGAAACTGCCCTTCCGGCCCCCTACGTCCCTCAACTACCCACAGACAGCCACCCCATGTGAACTAAATCCTGGTCACTCCTGGGCAAGACAGACTAGGGTGGCATGAATAAGTCAAGTCTAGGAATGAGTTGAGCATCATTTTTCACCAAACCAAGCGTAACCCTTTCAAGCAGAGCACCTGACAAATGATTCTCCCCTCTCCCCACTCCAAAAAAAAAAAAAAAAAAGCAGAAAAGGGATTTGCATCCATCACAGGCCAAACAGCTCCCAGCTCACCAGAAAGTGGCTCCCCACCCATGAGCGTGCTGTGTTCCCACAATGACTTCCTGCCTTCATGGAGATGTCTACGTGTCCATAGCCGGTGAGAAAAGAAGGGTTTTCATCCCTGCTCGCTGCCAAGCCAAGGTCCAAATGAGGAGGCAATCAGAGTTACAGCTTCAGTATTTTTTTCTCTGGTACCTGGCTCTGTTTCTGCAATATAGAATGCATGTAATATGCAGCAAAATCAACAGGAATCATAATAACCAGAACATTTATTTAAGGACCTACTATGCATGGGGCTTATACTAAGTCCTTCTTCATTTTGCTTAAGAAAGACGCTTAGGGGATAAAGCAAAGAGGATGAATCCTCCCCTTTGACAACAGAACAACAGAAAAAGAGTATCGTAAGGAGAAAGTCCCCGACAGTCTGAGCTGTGAAAAAACCTTGCTACCGTGAGAAAAGGAGCTGCTTTGTCGTCTGCTGGAATTCTCAGGAAGTACAAGGGAGCCCTCTCTCTCTCTCTCTCTCTCTCTCTCACACACACACACACACACACACACACACACCACTCAATGGTCAGGTCCCTTTGGAGCTGGGCCCTCCATCTGGGAAGGCCCACCCAGGCCCTATGCAAAATCAGGCTGGCAGTGCTGTTGACTTCAAACACTCCAGTGGGAGTGGCTCCCAGCTGATCTCCACACCACACCACACAACCCTGGCTACACCCTCCCCCAGCCTTTAATTCTGCGAGATGGTGGTTTGGCTGCATTGCCCTGCCGGACTTGGGGAAGACGCACCCCTCACAGCACAGCATGGCCAACTGGCATGAGGGGCAGCCCGCATACTGATGGGCCTTTCACAGACCACACCCTGTAAACTCCTGAATGCTGGTCTGACAAGCCTTCCTGCTCCTGCTCTCCCACCCTGGCTGTCTGGGAGTTTATATCTTCCACAAAACGCACATCTTTGGGATGGGTCACTTGCAATGTGAGAAGAGACCAGACCCTTGTTACTCAAAGTGCTGCCTGCACAACCTCAACATATCCGGAGATGTGCCAGAAATGCAGACCCTCAGGCTGCCTGGACCTTCACAATCAGACTCAGTCTTTTAACAACACCCATGCAAGATGATTTCATGCAGATACTAAGGTTTGTAAAGCCCAGGGACCACATGCTCCCTGGAGCCCTTGGTGGCAAAGTTCTACTACCCCGACAGAACATTCCTTGGGCCTTCTGTCCAGAATGCTGCCTCCAGGTAGAGGGTGGGGAGGGCGGCCTGAGGCTCCTCTTGTGTGCCCAGCACCAAGGCACCACCCACCAAGAGGTCTGTGAAAGAGGGAGACACTGTTGGTCTGCTCCACAGTCACAGAGAAGCTGTGGAATTTCAGAGGTTCTGGGGAGGCTCGGCCATGTCTGGCCCCCAGGATATCTCTGTGAGGCCCAGTGTTCTCCACAGGGCCCGGGGCTGCAGCATGGCAGCACAAATGTGGTTCTGTCACCAGAACCACAGAGGTGTCCCTCTAGGGGCTCAGCAGCTCTGAAGCCCTGGGAGGTGGTGTTAGCTATTATGATTCTCAGATTAGCAAGGCCACCACCACTGTGAGCTGGGACACCCCTTCTGCCCACTTTGGGAAGGAGGTCCTGGCACTGCCATCCACTGCCAACTGGACTACTTCAGCACCAGCCTTTGTGTGCCCTAGACAGAGACACCAAAAGCAAACACTTCCTGCTACCAGGCGCCCAATAAGTGTCCCTATCCATGGAAGCAGCGAGGAAAACACAGGACCTCTTTGTCTTGCCCTTAGCATAAAATGCTCTATAGTGGTGCTGGCGAGAGTACCTACTCCATTCAGCTGTTCCCTATTAGTATCCCCAATTTGTAGATTAGAAAACTGAGGTACAAACCACAAAAGTCCCTGCCAAAGGTCAAGGCTGGGCAAAGGTACTCAAAACCAAGGCAGTTTAGCTCACTTCTCTACCAGCAAGACTTCTCTGGCCTGTGATATGATTCTCCAAGGGGAGGTTCAGCCATGACCTCACTCTTGATTTTTCCCAAGATAACTTCAAGGGCAAGTGCTCTGTAGACCCACACAGGGGGTTGTCCAGGAAAAGCTGGTCTGCCGGAGATTTAGCTCAGTGGTTCCACCTCCTGCTTCACAAGTGCAAGGTCCCAAGTTCAATCCCCACTACAAAAAAAAGAAAAAAAACTGGTCTGGATAGATACACTGTTGGAGGCACAGGTTTGGAGGTCTGGACTTAGATAATAAGAATGGAATTTGTCCTTTCTCAAGGGTACAGATGCAGGACATCCCACATACACCCACCAAATGCCAGCCCTAAAGTTCCAGGCCTCAGCAACCCCACCACCAACACCTCAACCATCCTGCTGGGTCCTAATCCACAGAGCCTTCTAGGCTGCCCATCCTTCTCATCCCACCATCCAACAGCCAAGAATCAGGACCCCAAACCTCAGTCAGACTCAAATGGATTGTTCAAATCATAGCAGTAGACTTGAAGGTCTACAGGCTCAAAAATTCTATTATAGACTGAGCCTTCGGGGACCATAGTTAAATGGATTAAAGAGAACATAAATTCAGTGCTTTAAGAAGCTAAGGTAGCTCCCACTTTTAAGAAGCTTGCTAAGTGACAGCCACGTGCTGGGCACTAAATACCCACTACTGCCAACACTCCTTATAGGAGACCGACAAACGAAGCATCTTCGTGCTCCTTTGACAAATGAGAACATCAAGGCTTAACCTGACTGCCAGCCACAGACACCTGGCTCATGGGCGTGAGTTCCAGCCCTGAACTTGGGTCTGTCTGACTGTGGTCTGTGGTGTACTAACGGGTCCCTTTCCATCAAGCGAGCCAGGAGCAAGACGCACAGGGAAACAAGGGCAGGTCAGCTGGTGCTCCCGTGACTAGGACCTGAGAACTTCTTCTCCACGGCCATTCCAAGTGATCTCATCTCAAAAGACTATCTGAAGGTCATCCAGTGTGGCCGATCCTGAGTCAGGATGAGCGAAGTGAGGCAGTAAGGCCAATCTGTAATCAAGAGATCCAAGGCGCCAAAGCTGCAGGCCTGACTGAATGTGCCTGGCCAGACCCAGGGTAATTACCAAGCCGTAATGGGATCTGATATTTATATTAGTCACGAGCCTGATAGAGAATATGTGTTGTTTTCTCAGACACAGCCATGGAGACAACGCCTCAATAATTCATTACATGCAGACCATCCTTGATCAAGCCCAAGCTCCTACAAGGACAGCAGCTCAAACCAAGAACAGCAAGCCCCACAGCAAACCAGCTCCCTCAGAACGCTGACCTCAGTTTCCTCAGACATTCACAGGGAAGTAGATTGTATGCTAGAAGGAGAGCAGAAGAAGGGGCTAGAGACACAGAACTAGGTCCAAAGCTGAGTTCCTAAAAGGACTGCTAAACTAGAAACTTTACCCCAGGCAGAATCCCAGAGCCGGAAGGTACACAGGAATGTGCAGATTCCAACCCTCATGTTTTACACACAAAGAAAGACACACCAGAGAAGTCAAATGATTTCTTCAAAGTTGTGTCCTTACTCGGGCTTGCTAGTGTTTTCCCAAACAAAACGTGCAGCTACAAAACACAGCAGCTCTCTGTTCACTCTGGTCCACAGCTGGACCAGACCTCAGAATGTCAGGGCCAAGGGAACAGAGAATGCTGGTGAAATCCAACAGAGAAAAAGAAAACAACACTGCGAAAAAGTACAGCAAAGAGCACAGTACTGGAATGATTGTGCCCAAGCTCTCAACCTAGAGAAAACATAGTAAGTTTTTTTTTTCTTTACTACCTAAAAAAAACCCTCCACATTCCATTCTTTTCAAAAATACTAAAGTCACTGGCTATATGCTGTTTGGAGGCCAAAGGTACTGAGCCAGAGGCTCCTTGTGACAAATCAACAGTCTCAAGCTTCTCTGCTCAAAAACAATGGGGCAGTCCTAGGCCAAATACGTGTGATTTCAGAGCTCCCTGCTCAAACTTCTGTCTGACGGGAGTCTCAGATATTGAAAAGGCAGGACGACAGCTCCTACTTAGGCCGGTGTGGGTCTAGAAGAGGGTGAAGGTGAGGGTGGGTGAACACAACTAAGGATGGCAGGACTCTGCAGAAAGGCAGCTCAGGAAAGCTAGAACTAAAATAATTGTGCTTGACTTGAGCCAAATACTTTCTTCTGCACCAGGTCTCGACAAAACTCCCAAATACTTGGAAAGCAAAAAGACTGAAGGACCAAAAATATTGCAAAAAGAATGTAGACCTCAAGGGTAGGAAGAAAAGCTTATAAAAGGCCTTAACACATCACTGGCTACAATAAGCCAGCGACACACAGTTTAGTTAAAGAAATAAATCAAGGGTCAGGTTTTAAGAGATTCTGGGGGCATGTTTTCTTATGAACTCACAATATCGAAACTAACTTGATCTCATTCCATGTTGGCTTCACTTCTTCCCAATGAACCACAATCATCTTGCATCCCAGCCTGATTTCTTATAGAAACTTCCAGCTATATACACTCAGCTCATCTTAGAGCTATAAAAGATTGCCACATATTTACAGATTGTTTTTTTTTCTAATGACCATTGCCAAAATCCTACTTTCTCGAGAAAACCAACAGAAGTTATGCCTGGTCATCACTCAGGAAAGAGTGTCTTTTTGTGAACAGTCTGATGAGCATCTCACGATAAGCACTACAGTGGCATTTGTATTCCCCCACCGGAGTAAAGACATTTTAGAAGCTGTATTTAAAACCCCAGGATCACAAAACCACCACATCTTATTTTGACTCATCAAAACGAAAAGTTTTCATTATGATCAAAATTGCCCCATTCCGGAAAAACAGGAGGTTGTTAAAAAGTTCACCAAAATCAAGCCATCTAGAGAATATTTTAAATGCCTGCAACAGTGAACTATCTTTCCCTTTAAGGACAGCTGCAGAATCTCAGTAAAGGGGGAAAACAATCCCCAGGATTGAAGCCTGTAAGGGAGGTGGAGGAGACAGAATGTGTGAATAAAAAGCGCTGGGAATTAGCGTGCTGCTAAGAGACCAGTAGGCAGGAGCATGGACTGTGCAGACAGGACTGTGGTTAGACCCTTGCTTCAGGGAGGGCTGATCTCGAAGGTAGAAGGTCCTCCTCCCTGATGAGTGAGGAGGAACCTCTATCATTCAGAAGGTAACTCCAAACACTCCAAACAAAGGTGGCTAGCAACATCCGGAGCCCTCCAGAGAAGCAGGAAGAGAAAGAAAAGAATAATGGTTTTTATTTTTCTCCCCTATTCCGACACACCAGTGTTTTCCAAAACACAAACGTGCTGCCACAAAACAGCTGAGCTCCAGCACCCAATGCGATGGGTAATTAATGTGCAAAAGGAAGCACTTGGGCTCACCCTTGCCTTTCACTGTGGGCCTTCACCCGGAACACCTGGCTCCCCAGTGTCTTCCCTTAGTGGCCAGGAGGCTGCTACAAGTTGCTGCTGCCTGTAAAGTTGGAGGGGTCCTGGGATTAACTTCACCAGGAAAGGTGGAAGGGCGCAGGAACCGGGATGTGTCTCTTCTCCTACATATCCCCACCCTCACAAAACGTGGGTGCTGCGAAGTCCTCTCTCAAAAAGAAAGCAGTTCGTCCCTTTTTTCCAGTTCTTTCTTTTGTATTCTGCAGTTTTCTATCAAATACAGTTTGCTATCCCTCGTCCCCCACCTCCAGCCATTGGCGGATGGCAGACAGAGACATCTGAAGGGACATGGCCACAGACCAGTCGGCTTGCCTAGCAACCATACATCTAAGGTTTTGCGAGCCTGGTGGGCGTCTGAACCAGGAATAGCCCAAGGCGGCATCAGCCGGGAAGGGGGCTGCTCTGGACACCACGGTCTCCTTCGGCTCATCTGGCCCTCACGCCCTAGCTCCGTGCCGCTGGCGGCATTTCCAGGGACCCAAAGTGGGTGGCCTGGGGGGGCGAGATTACACAGGCGGCCAAAGAACTTGGGGTGGAGTATGTTCTACAAGAAAATCCAAGGGATGGAGTGGGAGGTGGCATCGGATCTGTCATCTCGCCATATCCCTAAAGTGGCAGCCCCGTGGGTTGCTTCCAATTCTGGGATGGGTCCTCCCCAACTTTCTCTCGCCCTCCCACCCGCCAAGAAATAGCACTTTCCATGGCCATGGTCTTCCCAAGGGATTCCCTAGAGCAAAAGATTTTTTCCTTTGTCCTAAGGACCTTTCCTTCTTCGGACCCCACCAACTCATCTCCCCAACAGGTTCCTTAAGTGCGGGCTGCCGCGTTCCCCTTGCCCGCCCACCGCGAGGAGCCCGGCCGTGGCAGGTGAGCGCGGCCCCGGCTTCCTCAGTCCCGGCGC